CACCGGCCTCGGTCAATAAACTGAATACAACGACGTTCTGTTTGTGCTGAGGGCACCGGCCCCGGTCAATCAACTGAATACAACGACGTTCTGTACGCACTGAGGCCACCGGCCCCGGTCAATCAGCTGAGTACAACGACGTTCTGTACGCCCTGAGGCCACCGGCCCCGTTCAGTCAACTGAATGCAACGACGTTCTGTACGCACTGAGAACACCGGCCCCGTTCAGTCAACTGAATGCAACGACGTTCTGTACGCACTCAGGGCACCGGCCTCGGTCAATCAACTGAATACAACCACGTTCTGTACGCGCTGAGTGCACAGGCCCCGGTCAATCAACTGAATACAACGACGTTCTGTACGCGCTGAGGGCACCGGCCCCGGTCAATCAACTGAATACAACGACGTTCTGTACGCGCTGAGGGCACCGGCCCCGGTCAATCAGCTGAGTACACTGACGTTCTGTACGCACTGAGGCCACCGGCCCCGTTCAGTCAACTGAATGCAACGACGTTCTGTACGCATTGAGGACACCGGCACCGTTGAATCCACTGAATGCCACGACGTTCTGTACGCACTACGGGCACCGGCCCCGGTCAATCAACTGAATACAACGACGTTCTGTACGCACTGAGGGCACCGGCCCCGGTCAATCAACTGAATACAACGACGTTTTGTACGCACTGAGGGCACCAGCCCCGGTCAATCAACTGAATACAACGACGTTCTGTACATGCTGAGGGCACCGGCCCCGGTCAATCAACTGAATGCAACGACGTTCTTTACGCACTGGCGGCACCGGCCCCGGTCAATAAACTGAATACAACGACGCTCAGTACGCGCTGAGGGCACAGGCCCGGTCAATCAATTGAATACAACGACGTTCTGTACGCGCTAAGGGCGCCGGCCCCGGTCAATCAACTGATTACAACGACGTTCTGTTCGCACTGAGGGCACGGGCCCGGCACAATCAACTGAATACAACAACGTTCTGTACTCACTGAGGGCACCGGCCCCGGTCAATCAAATGAATACAACGACGTTCTGTACCCGCTTAGGGCACGGGCCCCGGTCAATCAACTGAATACAACGACGTTCTGTACGCGTTGAGGGCACTGGCCCCGGTCAATCCGCTGAATACAACGACGTTCTGTACGCACTGAGGCCACCGGCCCCGTTCAATCAACTGAATGCAACGACGTTCTGTACGCACTCAGGGCACCGGCCTCGGTCAATAAACTGAATACAACGACGTTCTGTTTGTGCTGAGGGCACCGGCCCCGGTCAATCAACTGAATACAACGACGTTCTGTACGCACTGAGGCCACCGGCCCCGGTCAATCAGCTGAGTACAACGACGTTCTGTACGCCCTGAGGCCACCGGCCCCGTTCAGTCAACTGAATGCAACGACGTTCTGTACGCACTGAGAACACCGGCCCCGTTCAGTCAACTGAATGCAACGACGTTCTGTACGCACTCAGGGCACCGGCCTCGGTCAATCAACTGAATACAACCACGTTCTGTACGCGCTGAGTGCACAGGCCCCGGTCAATCAACTGAATACAACGACGTTCTGTACGCGCTGAGGGCACCGGCCCCGGTCAATCAACTGAATACAACGACGTTCTGTACGCGCTGAGGGCACCGGCCCCGGTCAATCAGCTGAGTACACTGACGTTCTGTACGCACTGAGGCCACCGGCCCCGTTCAGTCAACTGAATGCAACGACGTTCTGTACGCATTGAGGACACCGGCACCGTTGAATCCACTGAATGCCACGACGTTCTGTACGCACTACGGGCACCGGCCCCGGTCAATCAACTGAATACAACGACGTTCTGTACGCACTAACGGTACCGGCCTCGGTCAATCAACTGAATGCAACGACGTTCTGTACGCACGGAGGGCGCCGGACCCGGTCAATCAACAACACACAACGACGTTCTGTACGCACTGAGCGCACCAGCCCCGGTTAATGACCTGAATACAACGACGTTCTGTACGAACTGAGGGCACCGGCCCCGGTCAATCAACTGAATACAACGACGTTCTGAATGCACTGAGGGCACCGGCCCCGGTCAATCAACTGAATACAACGACGTTCTGTACGCACTGAGGGCACCGGCCCCGGTCAATCATCTGAATACAACGACGTTCTGTACGCACTGAGGGCACCAGCCCCGGTCAATCAACTGAATACAACGACGTTTTGTACGCGCTGAGGGCACCAGCCCCGGTCAATCAACTGAATGCAACGACGTTCTTTACGCACTGAGGGCACCGGCCCCGGTCAATCAACTGAATACAACGACGTTCTGTACGCGCTGAGGGCACAGGCCCCGATCAATCAACTGAATTCAACGACGTTCTGTACGCGCTGAGGGCACCAGCCCCGGTCAATCAACTGAATACAACGACGTTCTGTACGCGCTGAGGGCACGGGCCCGGGTCAATCAACTGAATACCACGACGTTTTGTATGCGCTGAGGGCACCGGCCCCGGTCAATCAGCTGAATACAACGAAGTTCTGTACGCCTTGAGGCCACCGGCCCCGTTCAGTCAACTGAATGCAACGACGTTCTGTACGCACTGAGGACACCGGCCCCGTTGAAACAACTGAATGCAACGACGTTCTGTACGCACTCAGGGCACCGGCCCCGGTCAATCAACAGAGTACAACAACGTTCTGTACGCACTAACGGCACCGGCCTCGGTCAATCAACTGAATACAACGACGTTCTGTACGCACTGAGGGCGCCGGCCCCGGTCAGTCAACAGCACACAACGACGTTCTGTACGCACTGAGAGCACCAGCCCCGGTCAATGAACTGAATACAACAACGTTCTGTATGCACTGAGGGCACCGGCCCCGGTCAATCAAGTGAATACAACGACGTTCTGTACGCTCTGAGGGCACGGGCCCCGGTCAATCAACTGAATACAACTACGTTCTGTACTCACTGAGGGCGCCGGCCCCGGTCAATCAACTGAATACAACGACGTTCTGTACGCACTGAGGGCGCCGGCCCCGGTCAATCAACAGCACACAACGACGTTCTGTACGCGCTAAGCGCACCAGCCCCGGTCAATGAACTGAATACAACGACGTTCTGTACGCACTGAGGGCGCCGGCTCCGGTCAATCAACTGAATACAACGTCAATCTGTACGCACTGAGGGCACCGGCCCCGGTCAATCAACTGAATTTCCATGTCCACGACAGTACATGTAATCTGCTGTTGGGGATGGGCGGAGGGGGGGGGGGGGGGGGTGGAGTGTTGGTAATGGATGCGTGGGTCCAGGAGGTCGTGGGGGTTGGCAAGAGTTGTGTTTGGGGAGAGGGGGGCAGGGAGGGGGGGGGGGATAATTGACAAGTACATGCGATATGTCTGTTGGGGGGGGGGGGGGGGCGAGTGGGATAGTTGGCAATGGATGCATGGGTTGGTCCAGCAGGGAGGGGGGGGGGATGGGGGGGGGGGGGTGTGTTAGAAAGAGTTGTGTGTTTTTATGTAGTAGGGGAAGTATTGGCAAGCAATGTGTGCGCTGGAGATAGGTAGGGGGGGGGGGGGAAGAGCTGGGAAGTGATGCGAGTGTGGGTCCGGGGGAGGGGGGGAGAGTGTTGGGAAGCGATGTGTGTGTGTGTTTGGAAACGGGGGGGGGGGGGGGAGGGGGGAGGAGGTGTGGACAGGTACCGAAGCAGTGGGTTGATGCTACTCTCGTACCCATCCCCAATAAAGGCGACCTATAGCTGTATGGCAATTGGCGTAGCATTGCTATTTTCGATGTTGTGGGGAAGGTGTTGGCTGCCATCATACAGACACTTCTCCAGTGGCTGGCGGAGACCCTGTTGCCAGACTCGTAGTGTGGTTTTAGGCGTGGGCGGTCCTGCTCGGACATGATTTTCTCTGTGCGCCGACTTGTGGAGAAATCTCTCGAGCATGACACGAAAGAGAGTGTATGTGGCGTGTACTTGCTTGTGCTGGGGTACCGGACACCCTTCTCGCTGTCATCAAGTCCTTTCGCACATCTATGCCACAATCCGCACATCCCAGGGACACACTCAACCCATCAACATCATCAACGGCTTGAGGCGGGGGTGCTCTATGGCCCCTTGCTTTTCAATCTATTCCCGTGGACCGTTTTCACTGTTTGGTCCCGGAGAGTGTCGACAGTTCCTGGCGTCGGCATGGAGGTTCGCTACTGGATTGACGGCGACTTTTTCGGCAAGCCCAGGACGCGAAAAACATCGACCGAGTTTGGGGAATGCCAGTTCGCCGACGATTCAGCCTTGTTGGCGACTACGCGTGACAGTCAGTCTGTCTGTGCCACTTTCAGCTTGTTGCCAGCAGCACTGCCCAACATGTCAGCGATGCTTCCGTTCTGCGGCCGGGTTCAAGCGTCACAACTGCAATCGTGGTGCGAGACCATCTGCTGCTGAGAGAGCAGCTCTGCCCCTCAGCTGCCCACATTGTAAACGCAATTTCCGCCGGCAGCAGGACCTAGCCAGACATTCGCGGTTCTGCTTGTGATCCGACTCCCGTTTTCTGGTCTCCTTTTCATAGGGGTGACACTTGCCCATCTGGGCAGTCATGCTGCTAGTAGTAGTAGTAGTAGTAGTAGTAGTAGTAGTAGTAGTAGTAGTAGTAGTAGTAGTAGTATGTGTATGTGTATGTGTGTGTGTGTGTGTCTGTGTGTGTGTGTGTGTGTGTGTGTGGGTGTGTGTGTGTGTATGTGTGTGTGTGTGTGTGTGTGTGTGTGTGTGTGTGTGTGTGTGTGTGTGTGTGTGTGTGCGTGCGTGCATGTGTGGGTGTGTGTATGTGTGTGTGTGTGTGTGTGTGTGTGTGTGTATGTGTGTGTGTGTGTGTGTGTGTGTGTGTGTGTGTGTGTGTGTGTATGTGTGTGTGTATGTGTATGATAAGTTATAGATATTATAACATTGTTCTATCGCCACTGCCTACTTACTTCCTAGCTTGCATTTGCTATTGTGTTGCATTGTATTAGATTTCCCGTCACTACAAGCAACATGCGCTCCTTCACCAGGACTTACCAACACCTGAACAACAAACCGGGGTCATTGATCAACTGAAGACGGAAGTAGAGAAGGTTCAGCATGATGTGGATGCAATGCAGGTTAGTTGAAAGTGTGTTGATTTGATTTGCTTATACTCCATCTCTGCATACCTGTATGTATGTATACTTCAGAGGTGTATGTACACTAGTGCTGAAACGATTATGTCGATTACTCGTTACTTACTCCATAAGAAATAGATCGAGCGATGATTTCAATTTTATCCGCTAAACGAGTAGAATGGTACTTACGCTCGGTACGGGATTTCCCCTCTTTTGGGGCTCGAACAAAGCGTTTCTTTAAAGCATGCATTCATCGAAACTGTTGCAAGTACGACACGGATATGTACATGACTGCACACGGATATGTACATGACTGCACACGGATATGTACATGACTGCACACGGATATGTACATGACTGCACACGGATATGTACATGACTGCACACGGATATGTACATGACTGCACACGGATATGTACATGACTGCACACGGATATGTACATCACTGCACACGGATATGTACATGACTGCACACGGATATGTACATGACTGCACACGGATATGTACATGACTGCACACGGATATGTACATCACTGCACACGGATATGTACATGACTGCACACGGATATGTACATGACTGCACACGGATATGTACATGACTGCACACGGATATGTACATGACTGCACACGGATATGTACATGACTGCACACGGATATGTACATCACTGCACACGGATATGTACATGACTGCACACGGATATGTACATGACTGCACACGGATATGTACATGACTGCACACGGATATGTACATGATTGCACACGGATATGTACATGACTGTACACGGATATGTACATGACTACACACGGATATGTACATGACTGCACACGGATATGTACATGACTGCACACGGATATGTACATGACTGCACACGGATATGTACATGACTGTACACGGATATGTACATGACTGCACACGGATATGTACATGACTGCACACGGATATGTACATGACTACACACGGATATGTACATGACTGCACACGGATATGTACATGACTGCACACGGATATGTACATGACTGCACACGGATATGTACATGACTGCACACGGATATGTACATGACTGCACACGGATATGTACATGACTGCACACGGATATGTACATGACTGCACACGGATATGTACATGACTGTACACGGATATGTACATGACTGCACACGGATATGTACATGACTACACACGGATATGTACATGACTGCACACGGATATGTACATGACTGCACACGGATATGTACATGACTGCACACGGATATGTACATGACTGCACACGGATATGTACATGACTACACACGGATATGTACATGACTACACACGGATATGTACATGACTGCACACGGATATGTACATGACTGCACACGGATATGTACATGACTGCACACGGATATGTACATGACTGCACACGGATATGTACATGACTGCACACGGATATGTACATGACTGCACACGGATATGTACATGACTGTACACGGATATGTACATGACTGTACACGGATATGTACATGACTGTACACGGATATGTACATGACTGCACACGGATATGTACATGACTACACACGGATATGTACATGACTGCACACTTGAAACATCGATGAACTTGTAAAAGTACAAGCGCGATCTGAGAAACATCGACGCAATCACCGCAGCCGTTTTTTCAGCCGACTACTTTTCTTACATACAGCATGCAGGACTGACAGGCTCAGTATGTGTCTACACTAGTTGCAGGGGCTGGAGTTCCCTCCAAGTGCGAGTAGTCTTGAGCTAAAGACAGTAAAGTGGTCTTCAGTTTCGTGTTTTCCGTTCCGTCGATGGTTCCCGAGCCAGTTTGCTCGACGATGAGCTAGGCCTGGCGTCTGGGCCTATTTTTGAGCATAGACAGAAATAAAGCAACTAGTTACTTGTCGGTGCGCCTCCAGTCAGCTTATCCGTTGAAATCCGCCGATCTACACCCCAGGCCGACTTCTCTGACTTCATCGTCGGAGTCAGCGAAGTCACAGGTGAAGGGCACCATCAGCTCTTGGGTTGCAACCAGCGCTCCCCATCCGTCTTGTCTGTACTTGTCTGGCCAGTCCGAGCAAGGTGGGTGGGTGGGTGGGTGGGTGGGTGCGTGTGTGCATGCGTGCGTGCGTGTGTGCATGCGTGTGTATGCATATGGGCCGCGGTCAGCTAAACATGTCTTTGGGTTTTCGTAAAAGAAGTTGAAAAATGACGGAATGAAAACATGTTATTGTCGAGCGTGTTCACGCTGCGCTTCGGTCATGAACCGGGATGTGCGCTGGCCGGCGGCCATTTTCTCAAATTTTGTTCAAACAGTTGTTTGGTGGTCTAACAAATTGATAGTTCAAGTAGCTCGCTTGCATAGATTAGTCAATGTCCATATCTGGTAATACTAGAGCAGCTTGCAGGGCCAGACGATCGCTGTGCATGGCGCAGGTTTGGTCAGGTGTCAGCAAGTCCGTGGCGGCGGGTCTGCAGAGCAATGATGAGAAATGTTTGGGGATCTCAGAGATGTTGATGTTGCCAAAGGAGCTAAATCGCCCCCGTCGTCCCCAGTAGGCTAAGAGGTACAAGTTGTGGGCGAGTACATTAGAGGACGGACTACCTTACGACGTTACGTGCCGTTCAGCTCTCAACAGTCGTCGTCTGACACACTCTCGAAAGTGCACGTGACAACCAAAGGTGTCACTGCCAGAATCGAAAGAGTATGCAAGTGCAACGCCGCCCAGAGGATCATAGTCCTTTCCAGTAAGAAGTAGGTCCGTGACTTGGAACTGATGTCGTTGACATGCTCAAGTCTGCGTCATCAACTTCAGTTCCTTTGTATTGTGCTACTCCACAAAAGCCTCTAAGTCTGTCTGTGCGTCAGACTGTGCGAAAACTGTCATTTTCTATTCCAAAGTGTATATTTTAAAAGCGGTGCTTGTGTCACTTTTAGACTACTTTGGAGCCCTGTACCACCTTCAAGAGGTCAAGTAAGGTTCCAAAAACTGTTTTCTGGAGGAAAACAAAATTTGAACAATTTCACTGTAAGACATGTTTTAGCTGATTGTGGCCCATAATGTGAATTGCTCAGTCATTCACAATGCTGTCACGTCCAAACCAGCCAACCAGCTAGTCGCTAGCCCGCGCTGGCCATAACAGTACGAAATAATGGTTGTGACTTTGGCGATGATTTTTTTAGGAATGGGTTTGCTCCCACAATGGAGCTCGCGCTATTCCGCCGACGACTTGACACTTGACTGACTCACGACTGCCATCCAGAGAACACGAAAAGTCCATCGAGCCTTCGACTCGGCAAACCTGCAAGAAAGGACCACTCACGGCTCAATACACAGCGCTTCGGGGAATTCACCACTCATCAGTTGAGCTTGAGTAGGCTGAGGAAGATTTTGCCTGAAGAGCACCACTTTTATAGTGCTCACCAGGCACAAACATCACCAGGGATACAAACTTACAGAGACGCTCCGTTTCCAGCGAGACAAACACCTCGTGAACACCGGTTACTGTGTTGAAGTGTTGACTTTTTCTTTCTTTTTTATTATAGTGGTTAAAAAAGAGAAGAAACACATGAGAACGAGTTATGAAGCAACTTTCCACGACTGTAACAAGATGATAAACGGTCAGGAAGTGCGATAATAGGGCACAAAACTGACAGGCTACTGAGACATTCAGCGACCCAAGACCTAGCTCTAACACATCACCAGAGCGCAAATCAACAGCCTTTAAATTTGAAGGTTCATGGTTACGTAGGACCGAAGAGGGGAAGGTGAGCACAGCGAAAATGTGCACAAGCTAAGTCCCGCGGCAACAAAGAATGCCGACTGTTACAGGACGATGACGAGACCAGTTAATAACATGACAATGCGGTCTAACTACAATTCGAAGCAGCAAAGCAACACACCACCCAATTTGGGTGGCTCAGTAATATTCCAAGTTGAAAGGCTGTAGGTTTGCGCACTGGAGATGTGTTTTTTTAAAAATTTTTTTTACTATGTTCACATACCCAACTCATAAATAATACAGAAGACAATGGTACTGAGACAAGGACAAACGTGACAACTACTGAGAAGGGGCTGCACCGAGGTGCAGCAGTGATGGTGGGGCATTGATGGCTCTGCCGACCTGAGGTCTCGGCATCACGGCCAGAAACACGCACCAAAAACAAAAGATAGAGCTGTAAGGGTCAGCAAAAATAAAAATAAAGCAAGGGCAAACAACAGCTAGTACTAGTGTGCAGCGCATTCGTAGCAATGGGAGTCATTGACGGGGCACTTGAATGTAGGTGGGTCGACAGGCAGAATGTCCGTGGACCATCGCCAATCCTGTCGGCGGAGGTATTCGTTGACGTTGCACTTAAACTTTTGAAGATTTTTGCGAGTTGGGGCGGAGTCTAGAATAGCTGGCGGCAGGGAATTCCACAGCTGGATTGCACAATGTGGGAAGCTGCGGAGAATGGTGTCTGGTGCTTGACGCTGTAGCGGATTTCGTAGCTGGTAACTGTGGCCGGCGGCCATGCGGAGATCGTTTCGAGTGCGAGTGGCGTCACGGGGCTCAAGCCTTGGTGGGAGGACTGCTAGCAATTGAGTCGGACCGGTGATGAAATGCAGTTTGTAAGCGTATGTTAATGCAGCAACGTATCGCCGTAGGCTGAGGCTCTGGAGCTCCGTCCCGGGACCAATGATGCGCAATGCACGGCGTTGGATGCTATCTAGGCGTGATAGATGGGAGGAAGCAGCTCCCATCCAGACGAGCGGAGCACACTCCAAAACGGGCCGTACAAACCCCTTGTACACCGTGAGGCGGCCTTCTCGGGAGAGATAGTGCGCAGCTCGCCGCAGGAGGCCCAAGCGCTGTTTGACACGTATAGACACTGCGCTCATGTGCTCCGCGAAGGACAGCTTCGGATCAAAAGTCACCCCCAAGAGCTTTATTGTGGATGACTCTGGCACAGGGTTGCCTCCAAAGAGGAGAGAGGGCAAGGCTAGCTGCGCTCTTTGCAGCGTGACTGTCATCGCCTGGGATTTCGACGGCTCAAACGCTACACGCCATTCCTTGCCCCAGTCTGACAGACGATTGACGGTGTCCTGAAGCAAGGCAGCAGCAGTGGGGAGGTCGTTACGGAGAAGAGTGTACAATGTCGTATCGTCAGCATAGGCTTCCAGCTGCGTGTTCCCAGCAAGGCATGTTGATACGTCGTTAATGTATATGAGAAACATGGTTGGCCCCAAGATGCTGCCTTGTGGGACTCCCGCCTTGATGGGGTATGGACGGGAGGTTGCACCACCGACAACACACTGTATGCTTCGGTTAGACAGGTACGATGTCAGCCATGCAAGGAGGATTCCTTGGATGCCACATTGCTGTAGCTTGAAGAGGACACCTGCGTGAGAGACCTTGTCAAAGGCTCCAGCGATGTCAACTGCAAGTACGCGTGCTGCGCCCCCGTGTCCGATAGAGGATGCCCAGGAGTGGTGTAGTGCAGTAAGAGCGTCGGCTGTACCCAGATTCCGTCTGAAGCCAAACTGATTCGCTGCAAGCAGTGAGTTACCCTCGAGGTAGTTCGTAATTTGCATGTTGATAATGGTCTCCATTACCTTGGATATCACACTAAGGAGGGATACGGGGCGGTAGTTCTTGAGCTGTGAGCGAGATGAGCGTTTATGCACAGGAACAACATTGGCAAGCTTCCAGGCCTGAGGTTGGTGTCCATGCCGGAAGCACAATGAGAAAAGCTTGGTCAGGACCGGTGCGAGCACCGAAGCGCATTCTTTCAGGACACGGGGGGAGATGCTGTCCGGCCCCGTGGCTTTCGACGCGTCGAGACGGCGCAGGAGGCGGTGAACATTCTGGATGCGGAAGTGGACGTGGGTGAGTGGGGGATGTGGGTGAGCAGGCCCTGGGGTTCCAAGGGAGGCACGATGTAGGTCCCTGTCACCCAGGCTGCACTTGCCAGCAAAGAAGTGACCAAAGCAGTCAGCCTTCTCCTTGCTTGTAATGTGTTCCTTCCCGGCATTGTCGAGGAGGAGGGGGGTGTCAGAGTTTCGGCCAAGACCGCATGCTCCTTTCAGGTTGCACCACCATGCCTTGTCGCAAAGCGAGCCGCAGGTGAGTCGGGCCCGAAGATGCCGTTCCTTCTCCTGCCTGGAGTGCTGAAGTGTGGTGGTAGCGCGGGTAACAGAGTCGATGAAGGATTGCTTCTTGACGTCATTGCCGAGGTCGTGCCGCCATTTCCTCCATTCTCTGTCCTTGATACGCATCACTTGTGTGCACTCAGGGGTCCACCACTTGGGATCAGATGAGCGGATGACGAGAGTCTTATGGGGAATGAAATGTTAGAGCTAGGTCTCGGGTCGCTGAATGTCTCAGTAGCTTGTCAGTTTTGTGCCCTATTATCGCACTTTCTGACCGTTTATCATCTTGTTGCAGTCGTTGATAGTTGCTGCATAACTCGTTCTCATGTGTTTCTTCTCTTTTTATAGTTATGTTTTTTTCGAATTTACAACATTCCCTGTAGTATCCTGAAGAGAAGGTAAAGAAAACGTTTGATAGAAGGCAGAGACTACTGAATTGTTTGGATCTGCGTCGTTGCATGCGAATACTGATTACGAAACAATTTCACTGTGAGACGTGTTTTAGCTGATTGTGGCCCATAATGTGAATTGCTTCTTTTCACCACAGCATGCAGAGCAGCTGAAGTCTGTTGCAACTAAAGGTGAACTTGATGCCAATCGTCAACATTCAACACAGTGTGTACTTGAGTTGAAACATGAGATGAGCGCAGCAATGGAGGACAACAATGCAGTTTTGACTCAGGTACTACACACTATACACACTGCCTTTATAACCTTTCAGCGGCCGCCTTGAAATAACCCACTTCAATTGTCTACCAAATCTTTAAACCAGATTTATGGAATATAATAATAGTACTAGGGGTCAAACGGGTGTACCGGTTACCCGGGTACCCGCCCGTTAATCCCACGTGCCGTTAGTAAACGGGTACCCGTTTGTAAAAAAAGAAAAGAAAAAAAGGTTGGATTTCGATGATCCTATCGTATGCCAAGACTCAAAAAAGGAGTGCGGATACTCTTATCCTTTTTCCTGTGCATTCCCGCTTTCGACTTTGTCAGGCAGGAGCAGCCTGAAAGATGTCGTTCTCTCCACTCTAGTGAAAGTAAAAATCCTCGTACTGGAGGTTTTTGATAGTGAGGTGAGAAAATGCGAGACTTGAACTCGTTCGAGGTGGCAGCTGAGTTACTAGAAAGTTACGATGGTTCTCCGACATCGAACCTGCCACAGTACTTGAAAATGAAGTAGTGTAACCAGTCTGAGTGACCAGTCGGAGTGTCACACACGGTGATGTCCGTAGGTGGTAGCTATGATATTCATGGTTGTAGTTTGTTCCTTCAATCGACGAGCTTGGCTTAGTTGGAAAGTAGGTAAAAATATTGCATACAAGATAACGGATTTATGAAGATTCGTTTCACGAGTTCAACGAGCAGCTAGCTGGCCAGCAGCACATCAGCTGTGTCAGGCAGCCCAGCTAGCTATGGGTGCGAACATCTTCTGAATGCGAAGAGTACCAGTTCTCTGCGAAAATAGCAAAACAGGATTGCGCGAGATCACGGAAGTTTTGCTAAACTACTCTGTCCTTGCATGTCTTGAATCCCATCGATGTGCAGTTGATTTTCGTACATGTATTTTGATACATGTTACATGGTCCTAGTGATATATGTAACACGTATCACTAGGACCATGTACGATTGCAACTGCCTGTGAAGTTATGTACATGGGCAAATGTACGGATGACATTCATTTCGAACCTTCATTGCCATAATATTATTATGAGACAGGAATCAATTGCGAATCATAATCAGGGATCGGTTTATCCGGGTTCGCATCGCAGTTTGGGAATCAAAATTCACTGGCTGCGATTCGCTTTTTGTTTTTTATCGCCCAAAACTGCGATGCACTGGTCATGCATACCGGTATGTACAAAGACCATTCTGTACTCTTTGTGTGCAGTTCGCATGCTACTGCTGTACACCACTGCTGACTAGGGAGTAATATTTTACTACTCCAAACTGACCTGTCCTGCTCAGTCCGCGCGCGGGTCGCGGATCGCGCTTTGTTTGATTTTTGACACTGCACTAGCCACACTGCACTGGTCGTACAAGACTGCAGACTGCAGTACATGGCGGCGACTTTCCCTGAAAAGGCTAAAGTTCTCCTTTCTTCGTTCACTATCAAGCACAATTTAGTTTGTTTCTGTTCGACAAGACACAGTTGAAGTAGATAGTTCTAAGTCTCGTGTAGCCAACATGTCAGTGAATCTGATCACTGTCCAGAAGCGGGAAAAAGAACTGGACGCGCCAGGAGTGTCGATTCGTTTCAATGAAGAAAAGGAGAAAAGCGAAAATTCAGTGCGCTTTGACCGAAGTGTCACGATCGTTTGAGCGCTTTCCTGCGCTTTATTTGCCGACGGAATCAGTGGAACCGCCCTGTTGAAGGACATTGTGTTGTGAAGAACTCGAAGTCAGATGGACGCTGAACATGATTGTAATAAGCCCAAGCGAAAACCCTGACGTAAAATATTCAGGTCAACCGTTCGTTTGGAAAAGCAAATAGCAACTGCAGCTATTGTCCTCTTCTGTACAAAATCCTGCTATTGTACAGATATACATGTAAACTTTCGATGAAGGAAAACTGCTAATCAATACTGGGAGTTGCTAGTCAATTGTAAAACTATGTAGCAGTGACTGCTATGCAAAAAAATCAAAGTAAATCGATCCCTGATAATGATTAAAAAAAAAGTAAAAGTAAATGATCGTGTCCGTTCCCGAAGGGAACTCACGACGGCCGCTAACACCCGGTAAACCCTAGCGGCAGATGCAGCGCCTAACCGTGGGGTGAGTGGATAAGTCTTACAACCACTGGCACAAGTGCTGAGAACGACCCCATTAGCTGCATCCATGTACCCCTTGTGCCTGGACACAAGTTCCCAGTTGACTGTGGGTAGCAGCACGGCTGGAAAAACCGCTTCCAGGCAGGACTTGAACCAGGTAGATTTCGATGATTGTGGTATCAAAATACAACCTGAGAATATACAAATTTAAATCATGATTAACCCACATGCATGCACGCATACACACAATACAACTTAAAACAAACAAAACATCAATATGCACATTTATCCACACACGCTCTCACATACACACGCACGCATGTGCGTGCCAAACGTACAAAACGTGGACACATGTACACCAAGCAGATAGAATACAAGGAAGTGGGGTTTGCCATGGTTTTTTTTTTCAATTTTGTCTGATAAATATTTACGAGACTTTGCATCGAGCGACACCGTGGATAACATTGAGCCAAGAATTATGCAATAAACCAGAAGAGATATCTCTTCACAAGTAGGCAAATAAATGCGTAGGTGCCCGGCAACAGCAATCGGGCGAGTCACAGCAATGTACGTATTGCAACTTCAATGATACACATACACGGTTGACCACCCATGCCTCCATTTTCGGCGGGTCAAGCACATGGTGGCCCGGCAACTTCAAACGGGAACACACCGATACAACAGACACAGTTGACCACCCATGCCTCCATTTTCGGCGGGTCAACCACATGGTGGCCCGGCAACTTCAAACGGGAACACACCGATAAAACAGACACAGTTGACCACCCATGCCTCCATTTTCGGCGGGTCAACCACATGGTGGCCCGGCAACTTCAAACGGGAACACACCGATACAACAGACACAGTTGACCACCCATGCCTCCAGTTTCGGCGGGTCAACCACATGGTGGCCCGGCAACTTCAAACGGGAACACACCGATACAACAGACACAGTTGACCACCCATGCCTCAAACCGGCGGGTCAACCACATGGTGGCCCGGCAACTTCAAACGGGAACACACCGATACAACATACACAGTTGACCACCCATGCCTCAAACCGGCGGGTCAACCACACAACAACATACAGGTATCACAACACTGAGACAGTACAGCACAACACTGAGAGGCAAATGCATTTGACCCTCCTTGGGGCCTCGTCACGTGGCACAAGATACCGACGTGTCATGTCTAAAGGGAGGGAGGGAGGGGAGAAAACACAACCTTGAGTCACTTTGGCTAACTGGATGACAGAAATTGTTGACAAGGAAGTTGCTTTGCTGACACGAGGCAGGGCAAAGCGGCCACGCAAGATTTATTTTTTCATCCACCATTTTCGGAAAAAATATTTTTTATTCATGTGCCGCGTGACGAACCTGTGACAAAACACGTGCATGCGTGGGCTAACTTGGCTTTGCTGCTCAAAGCCGTCATTTAACCCACATGCATGCACGCATACACACAATACAACTTAAAACAAACAAAACATCAATATGCACATTTATCCACACACGCTCTCACATACACACGCACGCATGTGCGTGCCAAACGTACAAAACGTGGACACATGTACACCAAGCAGATAGAATACAAGGAAGTGGGGTTTGCCATGGTTTTTTTTTTCAATTTTGTCTGATAAATATTTACGAGACTTTGCATCGAGCGACACCGTGGATAACATTGAGCCAAGAATTATGCAATAAACCAGAAGAGATATCTCTTCACAAGTAGGCAAATAAATGCGTAGGTGCCCGGCAACAGCAATCGGGCGAGTCACAGCAATGTACGTATTGCAACTTCAATGATACACATACACGGTTGACCACCCATGCCTCCATTTTCGGCGGGTCAAGCACATGGTGGCCCGGCAACTTCAAACGGGAACACACCGATACAACAGACACAGTTGACCACCCATGCCTCCATTTTCGGCGGGTCAACCACATGGTGGCCCGGCAACTTCAAACGGGAACACACCGATAAAACAGACACAGTTGACCACCCATGCCTCCATTTTCGGCGGGTCAACCACATGGTGGCCCGGCAACTTCAAACGGGAACACACCGATACAACAGACACAGTTGACCACCCATGCCTCCAGTTTCGGCGGGTCAACCACATGGTGGCCCGGCAACTTCAAACGGGAACACACCGATACAACAGACACAGTTGACCACCCATGCCTCAAACCGGCGGGTCAACCACATGGTGGCCCGGCAACTTCAAACGGGAACACACCGATACAACATACACAGTTGACCACCCATGCCTCAAACCGGCGGGTCAACCACACAACAACATACAGGTATCACAACACTGAGACAGTACAGCACAACACTGAGAGGCAAATGCATTTGACCCTCCCAAAAACCAGGGTTTACGACCAAGCATTTCTCACGGCATCGCTCATTAGCATAACTTCCTGCAAGTAACCATGGCAAACCCCTAAGTGATACCCACAGAGCCACACCGGCACAAGGACTGCACAACAAGCGGGCGGCACAACACTTTACAACACTACAAATGTACCTCACTTCTGTTCTCAACACCACATGGGCGTGGGCTGTTCCAGTCTTTGCTGCTAGCCATTGCACAGAGGGTATACCGGCTGCACGCCTGACATAGTGATCGGATGCTGCACTTCGCCAGCAGCCTGCACGGCATATGGCTGCTTCACAGACACTTGTACTCCGGTGAGCCATGAGTGTGGCCCCGCCAATGCGCACAGAATGGGAGTTCATCCGGTTGCAGTTGAGGATCCTAGTCGAGCAAACTCGGGAGAAGTAGCCGCCGTCGACGAACACAAACACTGGCCGTGAGCTGCCGGCAGTAGCGGTCAGGGACCGGAACTCGGCCATAGCCGAAACTGGGTACATCAGATTATGTGTGCGCAAATACCGGGCTGAAAGG